ACATATTTGTAATAAAAAATAAATATAAAGTGAGCACTGAGCACTTTGTATTCTGTGTTGTAATTGAAATCAATATTGAAAATGTAGAAAAACATCCAAAAATATTTAATAAATTTTAATTGGTATTCTATTGTTAAGTGTGAATAATTTTTCGAGTTAATCACGTGAGTTGACTGCGATTAATTGACAGACCTATTAATTTGTAATACTTTGTCAGTGGATGTCAAATATTTTGGTTTCATTAGTTACTACTGTATTATGTTGTAATGGCTGGTGTTGCATGTCTGAGTTAATGACTCAAGACTGTCAAAATAACAGGCTCAATTGATAATTTTAGATTAAAAAATTCCAATCAGAGATTAATACACCACTATACAGAAAGAATAGAATAGAATCATTGTTGTCGGACTAAGAGCTGGATGTGTGTCTCCTGCTTCTGTTTTCATTCCCCCAACTAAGTTTCCATACCAGTATCGTTATATAGGGGTTCCGACAAAGGAAACCTCATTGCCAAGAATATTCTCCCAGAAACATACGTTGTGATGTCCTTTCTATACATTCTCAGTTTACCTGATTTGTGTGAAGGCATGATTATTTACAGCTGAAAGGACTAATAATTCTTTGAGATAATACCTCTCAGTGGGTCCTTGTTACCCCACAATCATTCTTCCTTGTTGATTCCCCAACAGAAAACATCTGCTGTAACAATCATCCCTTATTAGTTTCCCAAGGCTATATATGCGCATAGTGTCTGGGCCTTAGAATTCAGACATACTCTTTGTTGAAGATAAAGATTCTAAAGAATAGTTAATATATAAATGAATCAAATATACAGAAAGAAAGAACTAATAAAGCATTAATATTTACTAACAGGTACTAACATTGGAGAACCAGGAACTCCTCCTAATAATAGATCACCGCTCTTCTCCTTCCTTCCCCATCCTCCCCCATATTCTTATGCCTCCACCTGTGGCCTGAGACAAGTTTGTTCTTCAGATACTTATCTATGAAATGGGGGTATTGACTTTGACTTCATGGTGTGCTGTCATTACTGAGTTGATCTGGTTGAAAATCTTTGTTGGAACAGTTTTGTTGCTGATTGGCCAGCAGCTCAACGTTTTCTGGGAGCATATTGATTTTGTCAGAATTGTAGACAGTAAATTAAGGGCTTTGATAGGGTTGAAACGTTTAATTTTATCATTTCAACTTTTGGTAATTATAATAATCAAAATGGTAAAGTTGAAACAATGCTCTGATAAGATCAAAACAAATATTTCACGAACAACTCTGACATTTTGACTTTTTGGCTCAATATGGCAATAAATGAAATTTCAAAATCTCAGAATTTCGTGTGGGATGGAAATTTTTTTTTTTTTTTTTTTTTTTTTTTTTTTTTTTTGGCCAGTTAGATTCATCCCTGGTTTACAGTGACACACTGGACCTGAGAGGAGGAGTTGTGGTGATGCAAATTACTTACAACCTCTACTGGGGTCTGCAGTCACCCGCTACATTCCAAGCATTGGGTGCTGCTAGCTCTGGAGGAGGGCATGGCCAAGATGTTCCAGAGACACGGGCGGCTCCAGGCACCAGCACAGCAAGCGAGTGCCTGGGGTGACAAGCCGCGGGGGGCGGCCTGCCGGTTGCTGGGAGGGCGGCCGTCAGGCGGCCTTTGGTGGCGTGCCTGCGGGAGGTCCGCCAGTCCCACGGTTTCGGCGGCAATTCGGCGGCGGGTACGGACCGCCCACAGGCGTGCTGCCGAAGGCCGCCTGACTGCAGTTTAAAATAACCTCTGAGGAAGCTGGTGTGCAAATGCTGCCTGAACTGAACCAGGTGTGAAGCACTCCCTGAGATGTAGGACATGTGCTTGAAAGTCTCCATCTGCAAAATGAGGTTTTGTACAGTTTCATGTACAGTTGGTCTGGAACAGCATCACTGAACTATTCCCTCTGGACACCATTCTAAAGGTATCTGGATAAGTGTCATCTGTTTGTTTCCTTTATGTGAGGGGATTGTTTTAAGAGAATTTTCCAGAAGATCCATCTCATTTGGAGACTCTTATCTTGCTGCATGTTTGAACTAAACTTGTCTTATTTAAAAGAGGGAGAAGCAATCCTGCCAAAATATAGGAGCATTCTGGGATTTAAAGCCTTCCTGGTTTAAGACACTATTGAATTTTGTGCACTTGTAGCAGAATTAAATACTCAAGTGTACATTTATTAATAAAGATGTGTTACACATTTTTGGATTTGATTGTTCTCTGGTCCTTCTATTCCAAGTAAGTATTTACCGGTGTGAATGTATGGGATTAATTTGCACCATTATTCCTCATCCAGCACTAATTCATAGATGTTTCAAAAAGCAAAATATAAGTCTACTCTGATTAAGATGTGGATCTGGAGCAAGGTAAATTTATAACAGTAAATCTCTCAAAACAGAAAGCTATTGTGAGACATGGGTGGTGGGAAAGATAGGGAGCGGTGAATTTACAACATAGAGAAAAGTATCTCAAACAGGACATGTTGATATTGTTACTAGTACAAATATGCACTACAATGTGCTGCCTTCAGATTAAGAACAACCAGCTGCAAGGACAAACTCTTTCTTCAGGCATGAATAATAATTCTGAGAAGTACGCATCATGAATAATACCCCCTTCGCGCTTCTATCTAATGGAAAAGGACTATATCAAGAGCAACATCGGTTATATTTTCAGGCCTCAAAGTGGGCATTGCAGAGTAGAAGTTTAAAAAAAAAAAAGCTGTAAAAAGATTCCTTTTAATGTTTTAAATTAGTGCTGTCAAGAGATTAAAAAAATTAATCACAATTGTGCAATTAAAAAAAAATTAATCATGTGATTAATCGCACTGTTGAACAATAATAGAATACAATTTATTTAAATATTTTTGGATGTTTTCTACATTTTCAAATATATTGATTTCAATTATAACACAAAATACAAAGTGTACAGTGCTCACTTTATATTCATTTTTGATTAAAAATATTTGCACTATAAAAAAACAAAAGAAATAGTATTTTTCAATTCAACTAATAGAAGTACTGTAGTGCAATCTCTTTATCGTGAAATTTAAACTTACAAATGTAGAATTATGTGCAAAAAAAACTGCATTCAAAAATAAAACAATGCAAAACTTTAGAGCCTACAATTTTAGAGCCACTCAATCCTATTTCTTGTTCAGCCAATCGCTCAGACAAAAAAGTTTGTTTACATTTGCAGGAGATAATGCTGCCCACTTCTTGTGCACAATGTCACTTGAAAGTGAGAACAGGTATTCTCATGGCACTGTTGTAGCTAGCATTGCAAGACACTTAAGTGCCCGATGTGCTAAAGATTCATATGTCGCTTCAGTCACCATTCCAGAGGACATGCGTCCATGTTGATGACGCGTTCTGCTTGATAACAATCCAAAGCAGTGCAGATTGACGCATGTTCATTTTCATCATCTGAGTCAGATGCCATCAGCAGAAGGTTGATTTTCTCCTTTGGTAGTTCTGGTTCTGTAGTTTCCGCATCGAAGTGTTGCTCTTTTAAGACTTCTGAAAGCATGCTCCATACCTAATGCCTGTCAGATTTTGAAAGGCACGTCAGATTCTTAAATCTTGGGTCGAGTGCTGTAGCTATCTTTTGAAATCACACATTGGTACCTTCTTTGCATTTTGTCAAATCTACTGTGAAAGTGTTCTTACAATGAACATGTGCTGAGTCATCATCTGAGACTGCTATAACATGAAATGTATGGCAGAATGTGAGTAAAACGGAGCAGGAGACATACAATTTTCCCCCAAAGAGTTCAGTCACAAATGTAATTAACGTATTATTTTTTAACGAGCATCATCAGAATGGAAGCATGTCCTCTGGAATGGTGGTCGAAGCATGAAGGGGCATGTTGTGGAAAATCGACCACATAATTGATTTTGGATCAGATCAGCCTGAGGCTCCTGTATTGATTAATCAAACATGCATGCATGGGGGAGTCAGCCAAGGCAGCCGAACCCCCCAAATAGATAAAATACAAAAGCTTATACAGGATAAAACCACAAAAAGTACATGTACTTCCTTAAAGTTTAACATCCATATAAGGAATAAAACAAAATACGTTTTCCTGTTTTTCTTAGTTTTGCCCTTTGCGGTTTCTTGCTCTGTCACCGGGCAGCTATTAATCACAAACTGTTACAAATGGTTAATTCTGCTTTTATAGTTTCTTTCTGCCCTTTTTCTACCTCCCCCCTCCCCTTTCCTGTCTCCAGGCCATACATACAGTTTACTGGACGAAAGTTTAGGCCCCAGACCTTTTTTCCCCCCCAAGCACATGAATGTTTACCATATCTGCCACGTAAATACCTTGCAATACTGGCTACAACAGTGCCATGCAAACTCCCGTTGTCACTTTCAGGTGACACTGTAAGTAAAATGTGGGCAGCCTTATCTCCCGTAAATGTAAACAAACGTGTTTGTCTTAGCGATTGGCTGAACAAGAAGTAGGACTGAGTAGACTTGTAGGCTATAAAGTTTTGCATTGTTTTGTTTTTGAGTGTAGTTATGTAACAAAAAAATTCTGTATTTGTAAGTTGCACTTTCACGACAAAGAGATTGCACTACAGTACTTATGTGAGGTGAATTGAAAAATACTGTTTCTTTTATCATTTTTACAGTGCAAATATTTGTAATAAAAATAATTGTATAAAGTGAGCACTGTACACTTTGTATTCTGTGTTGTAATTGAAATCAATGTATTTGAAAATGTAGAAAAGCATCCAAAAATATTTAATAAATTTCAATTGGTATTCTATTGTTTAACAATGCGATTAAAACTGCAATTAATCACAATATTTTTAATCGCAATTCATTTTTTTAGTTAATTGCATGAGTTAACTGCGAGTAATCAACAGCCCTATTTTAAATTAATAATTGTATTTAATTCAGTGTAGTACCAGTACACTGTGCCTCTGTATAACTGAATTTTAACTTACATTTATTTCAGGTGTCTTCAGTGCTTGACAAAGAACATTTCCAGATATGTTGCAGATATTAAGCCTTTGCCTCCCAACATAAAAGATAAGCTGATAAAATTAATGAGTATGCAAGGGCGGATAACTGATGCAAATATCAGTGAGGTAAGAACCCATTCAAAATTCACTTCTGCCTGTCTCTCCACATTCATGCCAGTTTAGTACACAGCAAAATATAAAATAAAGAGCTCAACTAAAATTATGTATGCAGTTCAAGAAGTGAGCCGAGGACCTC